TTGTGAAATTTTGTAACGAAGAGTTTTCTGAGAGTTTGGTTTAGAGTATCATTTGATTTCACCTTCTTGGTTACGTGTTTCTTAAGTCAATGAATCTGATCCGTCGATTAGCTCTTCTTACTAAACGTATCCAATCAATGGTCAATATAAAACGCAGCGTTTTAGAAACGGCCCATTAACCCGAAAACTTGACCCGGTTTTGTTCTTCCCCAAAATTTTTAATTCGCGTTACGGTTCTAAAGTCTTTAGCTTTTGATTAATCTTACTCAGGCGAAATCCTGTCAAAGGTAATTTCTTCGATTAGGGTTTTTGATGTCTATTCTCTGGATGGTGAATTAAATGAAACTTGTTACTGAAATTTTTGATTTTCCTGCAATAATGTGATTGTTCTGCTTCGTTGGATAGAGAAAAATTGGTTAAATCTTATGTTGAGAGAATCAATTTGGAGGGAAAAATGGTTACTTTCTGCGTGAAACTCACCATAGAGGAATCTTTAACCATCTTTGTAAACTCAAGTTGTGTTATAGCAATCTTTGGCCATCTAGGATCGTCCTGGGTTCTTGAATACAATAATGAATGTGTAGACCTTTATTTGGTGGGGAATGCATTATATAGGTCAAGACATGAAACATTGAAGCCTCAAATGCAGGAAAAAAAGACCAACCAGTTTCATGCATTGGTTTGGCTACGAAATGGAGTTGACGAAAAACGGTCATCTACAGACAAATTTGTTTTGAAGAATTTGTCTTAAACTTCTCTGTTAAAGCAGCTTGTAAATGAAGATGAGCTCATTGGTTTTTCGCTATATTTTGTTCTTCGTGCTGCAGGTTGAGGCGATGGTCGGATAGTCGCGGGGCGGTTGTGTTCTAGGTGTCCTGAAGCTTAGCTTTTAAATCAACTAAGCAAACTTGGTATGCTCATCATTAACTCTGCTTCCATTTATCATAATCCGCGTACACATGGTGATTGCATTTCTAGCTGTCTCTGTTGCATTTTAACCAAAAATCGACCCATTTTGCAGGAAGTGAAGGTTTTGAGTCCAAGATGTTCTCTCCATAGGGGAGCAGAGTGGACAGTCCCAAAAAAACTCACCTTTTGCTGCATCATCTCTTAAGTTCTTATTGGTAAATTACATGTCTTAGATCTTCTTAACCATATTTGCATAAAGCTGTGAAACGAAAAAGACAATTTCAAAGAAAGCAAGACTCTTTAAGAAACACTGAAACCTTATAAGTAAGTAGGAGATCAGCTAAAAGAACGGTATGATGCTTCTTTGTCTCTTAGGCCTTCTTCAATTTCCGCAGCTATTAAGATCCACCGGAAACGCTTCCGTTAAAGATCTCGATCGTATCGCCGTGTTCAACACGGTGCCATCGGAATGACCGGTCATCGTCCATTACATTCTGTTTGTATATAAAGAAATACCCTTCTTGTGGCAAACTTAACTGATACCTCTGATGAATCTTAACCAGTTCTTTCCTCAGCTCTCCAACGTTATCGCCCGCGTTAACCTCTACCGGAATCTTCCTTGTACCGCATTTCGGCAACACCATTACTCTCAGCTTCTTCGGA